TATTCAGGGTCTGGTCCCACATGTATAAATACCAGAGCAATACAGCGTAGAATGGCAGTCTGATCTTACTCAGTCTACCTCGTCTACTTCACTCTAAACTTCCTCTGAGTTAACCACTCTCAAGTACTAAGCCAAGCTTATTACCTTGCAACTACCAAAGCTACACCAGTGAGTCTTAGGGTTAGAGTTAGTGTTAGGGTCAAGGGCGATACCTTGACACAACACAACTGTTGCAAATATTGCAATACTTTTGTCCCCTACCCAAAGCTTTCTCAGAGCCTACCAGCTCATTAGCAAGCCCGCCAGCTTATCAACAACCTAGCCAACACCTTTCAACTATCAGAAGTGAGTGTTTGGGGTTAGGGTTTGCTTTAGCATCAAGTATCAGTGAGATACTTTGACATACAATGAGGTAGACTAGGTTTTAAATAGAGGAGACTATTGGCAATAAAACTGAGTTTTGTCAAAGTTAAATGGAATGATATATCAGCTGATGAGTTGAATCAAGGAGCTGATAGATGATAATGGAGAAGGCAACAACTGAGATGAATTGATGATGTAGATTGCAAAATTTTCATTTACAGAAGTATAGGAAGTGCTATGGATGTAGATAAATGCACTCCCCATTATGAGCATGTTCTTGAGTCCCGCGTATCCGAAAGCAACACGTCTAGAGCTCTGGCTGCGCGAAGGCGGCGGTTACGTTCTTTCCTCTCCGCACGCTTCCGCTCTCTGCTGGGCAGTGGGACATCGTCGCTGTACGGCAAAAATATCCCGGGATTCGCTCCCGACTTGGCCTTCCTTCCCCGCCGCCGCTGCTTTTTCCTCGCCGGTGCGTCGGGCTGGGAGTCCTCCCGAGGGCGCTTTTGCGATCGCACAGTCGGCTCGGAGCTATGAACGAGGTGTGAGTCGCTGCGGGTCAAAGTCCGAAAGCGCGGGGGGAGGGGCACCTGTCCCTGGAGCGCTGAGCACTCTCAGCCTCTCCGATTTGGGGCGACAAGTCTGCCAGATCCTCCTTGAGGAAAGCGAGGTCTTTCCCCGGGCCACCGACGTCAGCCCCAGCCTGGAGCCCCGGGCTCTCTGAGGCCACGGAGTCGTTCGGAGGATCGCTGGGGGAGCCATCAACAAAATCAGCCGAACGCACATCGCGGCCGCGAAACAGCTCACCCGGCGTCGCAGGTCTCCGTCGCCACGCCCACGAGAGCAGAGGGGTCCAGTGACTGGTGCGTGGCAGCTGAGGTCGGCAGGCAAGAGAGGGTGCTGGTGCGCTCCTCGATGTCGGGGCTGCTGAGGTCACTGAGCGCCATGTCAGGTCTCAAGCTTCAAGGTCGGGATTTCCCTAGTCGGAAAGGGCGGTGCGGCGCGTGCGATGAGGAAGAGGGAGGAAGAGGCCACCAGTGACTCGGGCTGCTGGCACCATTGTTTGGGGCAACTCGGCTACACCAGTTAGCGCTCGCTCTAGTCAACAAACTCTACACGTCTGGTGTTTTACGCTACGCTTTTATGCTTTGGACGGCGCTGGGCCATTGGTCACCTTTGCTGTAGCCTGAGGCTCTGTCCGTGTGTGCACTAGACAGCACACGGCTTACGACGCGTGACGTCATCCGTCCTCGATCAAAGGCGATCGTCCTCGCCGAGGTGCCGCCGGCGCGACTCGCGTGTCCGCTCGACTCAAATAGATCCAAATTTACGCGACGACCCGCAGCGCGAGCGAAATATCCGCCGCCTACATACATGCACGCACGCATATAACCCAAAATATCCGCCGCCGCCACCACCACCACCACCGCTTCTTGCACGCTCACGCACGCTTGTCAGTGCCCTCGGGCGCGGACCCCTCCTGGATGGCGAGCTCGATGCGCAGGATGGTGGGCTGGAATTGCGTAAAAGTGAGGCCTGCGGGGTGGCGCACGCGGGACTGCCAGCCGGGGGGGAGGCGCTCCTCAAGGAGGACGACCGCGAGGTCATCGACGCGCCCGCCAAAGATGGTCAGCAGCGTCGCGGAGCTGCGGGAGGTCAGCGGGGGCGCGGGAGGCGGACGCGGGGCGGGACGTACTTGGTGCTGCCGAACAGGCGATGGAAGGTGTTGAGGCTGAATTGGCCGTTGGTGCGCCGACAGTGTGCGCGGCGCGCGGCAGAGACGCGGGCGAGGTCGTCGGTAGTGAGGACGCCCCCGGGGCCGGTGGCGCTCGCAAGGAGGGCGCGGATGAGAGCGGGACATGGCGGGCCCTGGTTAGGCACGTGGAAGGTGTCTTCGCCTGGTGCAAGTGGTAACGAGGTCAGCAGGTGGCGCGCGCGCAGAGGGACGGAACGCACGGATAAGGGAGGCGTCGTGCTCGATGCCGTTGTGGACGTCAATGTCGCGCAGGTCAAACGAGTCGGCCCAGTAGTTGCGGTTGAGCATGTTTGCGGCGAAGAAGGGGACGAAGAATGAGAAGCTGGAAGAGGTATTATACGTCGTGCGACAGGCGGCGGTAAGGGCACGGAACGAGATGCCCCGGCCAGAGTGTGGGAGGATGCCTGGCGGGGATGAGCAGCGAGGGGCGGGGATGAGACAGAGTGCTCACCGTGGTTGGCCATGGCGTTCAGTGCAGGACAAGAGCAGCGGCTGTCTGCAGACGTCGGGGGCACGTACTCGGGCCACACACCGTGTGCACCCGGACAGCCCTCTGGAACGACACTGTTCTCTGGGAGTAGGGGTGCGAAGAGATTGTAAAAGGTCAGACTGAGATCCCAGACGAGGACGCCAGTGTTGAGGGCGAAAGAAGTGAGGCTGGAGAGCAGGCCGGACAAGAGCCGCTTGGACGCGACAGCAGGGAAAGAGTCAGACATGGTGGTAGAGGAAGAGGAGGGGGAGACGACGACGACGACGACGACGCGAAGGTCTAACGACCATTCACGACTCTGAAGGACGGGGGACTAGCTTTATAGGGGACAAACCATGCTTCCTGCCATGATCTAATGTCCGCACCAGCAGACGGCACTCATCCACGCCACTAGGGAGTTCATCGAAGCCCAGTGGGAGTGGCAATCTGAAGCTTGTTTGCAGGCGAGCAGGGAAGACAGTGACGACCGGCCATCAGTACTTTACACCGGGCACTACCGTCCGTGGCCTCTGGGATTGGGAGGTTTGTGTGTCTTGCTCTCCTAATTCAGGCCTGTCGACACGGATCGCTTGCTGCCTTCCTCGAAGCGAGCCCATCTCCACTATCAGCCCCAGCTGGTCGACACCGGCACTGACACTGGCAGCCCAATACAAGTGCGCTCGCCACTCTTTGGCCGCATTACGCTTGGCTATCAGTATCCCCGCGCTAGAGTCCACGCTCCAAAGCTCGCTGTCAACACACTCGTCCCAGTCGGTTCAAGCAACGTCCTAGGCAGTGTCGACACGGACTCGACACGTCCAAGTCGGGCCCGGCCGCGGTGACGAGGGCCCTCATGCAAGGCCTGAATTCCGTGTGTGCTCTCTGCCAAGCCCCCATCGACCTCAAGCTCAAGCTTCGCTGCGTTGGCCCCGGTGATTAGTGCAAGATGCGGAGGAAAGAGTGCGAGGCGCCGACGACTCGTGCGGACTTGGCGTGTGACAACTTTCTATCTCATATGATTCGGACCCCTCAGATCTCATTGGACACGTCCGGGGAGGAGACCAGAACCTACCGTATTCAGCCCCTTCTCCTCTCAAACGAGGAAGTGACGGCACAACAAGGCTGATTGCAGAGATACATTGCAGCAAAGCATCGAGGACATACAAGGGCAATACATAGGTACAACCGTCCGAACGACGCAAGAACGCAAGCCCGACACCTTGCGGACAGCCCAGCTCGGCCTAGTAGTTCGAGTCCCACGGATTCGCATAGCCGCTCCTGGTAGGAGCCTCATCGTATGGCGGGGGGTGCGACCCGCTCATGTGGCCCATGTCATGCGCCTCCGGCGGCGCAGGCTCGCTCAGCGGCTTGTACGAGCTCTGGAAGTTCACGAAGCCCGCGGGCGTGCGCCCGAGTCGGCGCCGCCGCATGAGCCCCAGCGCGAGCAAGATAACCCCAACCGCGGCGCCGACGCTGACACCGATGACGAGCGCGAGGTGCCGGTGTATCCAACTCTCGTCGGAGCTCCACGAGCTCGTGCCCCGGAGCTTGATAAACTCGGAGTGGATCTGCGCCGAGTCGTTCGAGGTTGAGAGCAGCTGGATATACGGCTCTGCGCGCGCGTTGGTCGCGTTGTCGGCAAAGTCCCCATAGTTGATCAGCATGTAGACGTTCCGCACTGCGGTTGGTAGTTCAGCGAAATGGTACACGGAGAAGTGGGGAGAGGGGACTCACGGAACGCGCCCCCGAGGATGACATCGTAAAAAGAGTTTGACGCGGCGGATATGGGCTGGAACTGGTCGCAAGTGCAGTCAGTGAGGCAGCAAGCATGCGCAAGTCGGCAAACGCACCGCTCCATAGCAGACCTGATCATTCTCCTCCCCCGTCAGAGGCAACTGAGCATTGGTGTCAAGCGGGTTGATAGGGTAGCGGACGCCGCCAAACACAAACGAGACGTTGACCTCGTACTGGCAAGGAATCACCCATACCTGTCCGTCGAACGCGGAGGCGTTCATAAGTTGGGCCCCAGGCACGTTGCCGTAGAACGCTTGAGCTACGTTACTGCGTCTCATGCTTTAATAGCAGAAAATGGCTAAAATTATAGAGCACACGTACGCTGGGACTTGGGGCAAAGAATACCCAGAATCGAACACGACAGTGAGCTGTTTTTTATTGGACGTCGACGACACAACGGTCTGCACGTCCACGGCTTGTCCATTGGGACCAATGATACCGTCCACATCCAGTAGCGTTTGCCAATGCTGGCTCGACTGATTGCCACTTGGCACCGCGGTCACATTAAGCTTCGGCTGGGAAGTGAGGTTGCTGTAGCCAGGAAGCACCTCGCCAATGGTAAAGTTTCCTGGCACTTCATCCGCTGGGTCGAAGGCGCGCCCGAGGAGGACAGTGATGTAGTTTGGCGTGGTCTTGTCTTGTTGGAATATCCTGTCCAGAGGAGGATCACCGGTTCCATTCCCCAATGTCTCCTGTATTTCCGAGCCGACGTGAGGCCCGAGTCCGATGAGACCTGTCCCTGCGGTCTCG